GGGGGGGGGGGGGGGGGGGGTTAGATGCTGGAGTCTGGTTGGGTGGGGGGTTATGTTGCATACACTGAGTTCACTAGAGGGTCGTATGCTGGGGGTCATTTTATTGTTAGGGTTAATAATGATAGGGGTCATATAGTTAGTGTAAGGTTGTCCTGAATGTTGACCAAAGCATAAATACATTTGAATGATTAGACCACACTTTCTAGGTATAAAAAAACTGACTAAATTCTTACACGAACAAAAAAACCTTATCCCTCGTAGCGAATAGGCCTGACATTGCCTCTACTTCAGATGACGTATGACAATGACTCTACTTAAAACACAAACACTGACACAGCCGCTGTTTTCAAACAAACCCTGACACTAGACCGTAACATGCCACTGGCTCTAACACACGCATGCCTACCGACATTGAGTAAAATACACACCTAATATTGACCTAATATCTCACTGACATTCCCTTAGCCTCTATCCCAACAGCCATGAGCACTGATATATTGATATCAAATTTATATTCACCGGGAATACTCTCCAAATCGTGCTTGTCGTGTAGGTTCAATCTCTTAAGCCAGCCAGGAAATATTTTTATAGCTCGACTTCACCGGAGCAGAATTTACAACCTTACGTGCACTTTATGCCAATTGTTAGTGGCTGCCTTTGGTTCATGGACAAGCCTCGGGGAAGGATAACAGTCTACAGACAAGAAGCTTTACTGACAGACAGCAGTACTGACAGACAGCATTACTGACAGACTGAGAGCATTACTGACATACAACATTACTGACAGACTGACAGCATTACTGACAGACTGACAGCATTACTGACATACAACATTACTGACAGACTGACAGCATTACTGACATACAACATTACTGACAGACTGACAGCATTACTGACATACAACATTACTGACAGACTGACAGCATTACTGACAGACAGCAGTACTTAACAGACAGCATTACCGACAGACATCATACTTAAGAGTAATAATGATGTACTGACAGACATCATTACTAGAAGACAGCATTATTTTACAGACATCACTGACAGAAAGACATCATTAATAGCAGAGATAATTACTGACCTGTAGTAATTATTAATGACAAAGATCATTGCTGACAGACAGAAATAATTACTGACAGATAGTAGCTATTGACAGACAGAAATCATTACTGACAAATAGTAGCTATTGACAGACAGAAATCATTACTGACAGATAGTAGCTATTGACAGACAGAAATCATTACTGACAAATAGTAGCTATTGACAGACAGAAATCATTACTGACAGATAGTAGCTATTGACAGACAGAAATCATTACTGACAAATAGTAGCTATTGACAGACAGAAATCATTACTGACAGATAGTAGCTATTGACAGACAGAAATCATTACTGACAGATAGTAGCTATTGACAGACAGAAATCATTACTGACAGATAGTAGCTATTGACAGACAGAAATCATTACTGACAGATAGTAGCTATTGACAGACAGAAATCATTACTGACAGATAGTAGCTATTGACAGACAGAAATCATTACTGAAAGATAGTAGCTATTGACAGACAGAAATCATCACTGACAGATAGTAGCTATTGACAGACAGAAATCATTACTGACAGATAGTAGCTATTGACAGACAGAAATCATTACTGACAGATAGTAGCTATTGACAGACAGAAATCATTACTGACAGATAGTAGCTATTGACAGACAGAAATCATTACTGACAGATAGTAGCTATTGACAGACAGAAATCATTACTGACAGATAGTAGCTATTGACAGACAGAAATCATTACTGACAGATAGTAGCTATTGACAGACAGAAATCATTACTGACAGATAGTAGCTATTGACAGACAGAAATCATTACTGACAGATAGTAGCTATTGACAGACAGAAATCATTACTGACAGATAGTAGCTATTGACAGACAGAAATCATTACTGACAGATAGTAACTATTGACAGACAGAAATCATCACTGAAGGACAGCCAGCTGCTGATAGACAGGCAACATTACTTATAGACAGCATTACATACATACAAACAGTAAGCTAAATCAGATACAGAAATCTGAATATCACATAACACAGCACAATGCAAATTCACGGGAGCGGACCAGAATCTATCAAAAGGAATGAGCATTATACAAACTAGACAAATCATGAACAAACTAGACAAATCATGAACAAACTAGACAAATCATGAACAAACTAGACAAATCATGAACAAACTAGACAAATCATGAACAAACTAGACAAATCATGAACAAACTAGACAAATCATGAACAAACTAGACAAATCATGAATGAACTGAAATAACAAACAGATAACTAGACAAATCATGAACAAAGTAGAGTAGCAAACATAAAACTAGAAAAGCAACTAACGAACTAGTTAAAAAAGAAATAAGCTAATGCCTACAAACTAGACACCAAATTACCAGATAGACAAAAAAACGAACTAGACCAATAACAAGCGATCGAGACATAACAAAGAACGTGACAAGCTAAACAAATTGTGAAGCAACAAATGAGCCAGACAGTACCTCTAGGACCAATTAAAAATCTTTCCTTAACTTTGTCTTTGTTTGCTTAATTCCTACACTAGCATGCCATTTTACTAGACTTATATTTGAACTGGATGAAAAAACTTCACGCAGGTAGCTATTAAATGAACCTAATTTAACGATGTAAAAAATGGTTGAAAGCTGCACGGAACGCGATGGGGAGATTCACTTGTAAAGTGTGTGTGTGTGCGTGTGTGTGTGTGTTTTATTATCATTATATTAAATGACATGTCTGAGTTTAGAGTAGAAATAGTAGGGCTCGCCTAAGGTAAGGAGCACAGCTAATTAGATGGTACAAAGATCTTCTATCAATTCTAGCACGTTATACATCATGGTCTTATCATTGGAGGGGGGGGGTGGAGGGTTGTAATATTGTGATCCCATTGATTGGGTGAGTGGGGGGGGGGGTGAGTGTGTGTGTGTGTAAGGGTGGATGGATGTGGTTGTGTGTATGGGTGTATGTGGGTATGTTTCTGCTAGATGTATATATATATAGCACATAAACATACAACTAACTTACCATTACACTTTATCTAGCTTAGGCTACCAACATACACCCACACACACCCATACACAAACATACACACACACACTCTTACAGAAACATACCCACATACACCCATGCACAAAACCACATTCATCCATATATATATATATATATATATATATATATATATATATATATATATATATATATATATATATATATATATATATATATATATATATATATATATACAATCATACAAGTACACACCCATACACTAGCTTTCTAGCATACAAACAACCAACAAACCAAGATACAAAATCTAACTTACCAAATCAAATTACTGCATCTAGCATATCAACATACTTTATACAACTTACCACCATAAAACAACTTACTTACCACCATACTTCATACAAATAACTTAACACCATATAACACCCAACTTACCACCATACAACACCCAACCTACCACCATACAACACCCAACCTACCACCATACACCACCCAACCTACCACCATGCACCACCCAACCTACCACCATACACCATACACCATCCAACCTACCACCACACAACACCCAACTTACCACCATACAACACCCAACCTACCACCATACACCACCCAACCTACCACCAGACATCACCCAACCTACCACCAGACACCACCCAACCTACCACCAAACACCACCCAACCTACCACCATACACCACCCAACTTACCACCATACAACACCCAACCTACCAACATACACCATCCAACTTACCACCACACAACACCCAACTTACCACCATACAACACCCAACCTACCACCATACACCCAACCTACCACCATACACCACCCAACCTACCACCATACACCACCCAACCTACCACCATACACCACCCAACCTACCACCATACACCACCCAACCTACCACCATACACCACCCAACCTATCACAACACACCACCCAACCTACCACCATACACCACCCAACCTACCACCATACACCACCCAACCTACCACCATACACCACCAGACCTACCACCATACACCACCCAACCAACCACCATACACCACCCAACCTACCACACACACCCAACCTACCACCATACACCCAACCTACCACCATACACCACCCAACCTACCACCATACACCCAACCTACCACCATACACCACCCAACCTACCACCATACACCACCCAACCTACCACCATACACCACCCAACCTACCACCATGCACCACCCAACCTACCACCATACACCACCCAACCTACCACCATACACCACCCAACCTACCACCATACACCACCCAACCTACCAACATACAGCACCCAACCTACCACCATACACCACCTAACCTACAACCATACACCAACAACCTACCACCATACACCACCCATTCTACCACCATACACCACCCAACCTACCACCATACACCACCCAACCTACCACCATACACCACCCAACCTACCACCATACACCACCCAACCTACCACCATACACCACCCAACCTACCACCATACACCACCCAACCTACCACCATACACCACCCAACCTACCACCATACACCACCCAAACTACCACCATACACCACCCAACCTACCACACACACCCAACCTACCACCACACAACACCCAACTTACCACCATACAACACCCAACCTACAACCATACACCACCCAACCTACCACCATACACCACCCATTCTACCACCATACACCACCCAACCTACCACCATACACCACCCAACCTACCACCATACACCACCCAACCTACCACCATACACCACCCAACCTACCACCATACACCACCCAACCTACCACCATACACCACCCAACCTACCACCATACACCACCCAACCTACCACCATACAATACCCAACCTACCACCATACACCACCCAACCAACCACCTACCACCATACACCACCCAACCTACCACACACCACCCAACCTACCTCTTCTCGTGTGTCCTGGTGAAGTATGAGCTCAGGTACAACCCCCTCAGGTTGCTGGTCAGGTTGCCCGTGTACTGGCTGATGACCACCGTGTAGTTTCTCCCCGTGTCCAGCTCTCTGTCCAGTTCCAGCACGTGAAAGTTCTTGTCTGGCACCTGGAACTGGTGCACGACCTTGACCTCAGGCGTGCAGTTGGACGCGATCCTAATCAGCGACTCGTTGATGTCGATGAGGCTGCGATGGAAGATGACGTATTTGGTCGAGGTGTTGACGTTGACCGTGATATTGACCGCGCCCTCGTATGTGAAGTTGGTCAAGTCAATCTTGATCCGGATCTCGTATTGTTTGGGGATCAAATCCCGCGGCAACCGTATGCCGGTCCACGGGTAGCTTTTGTTGCCGTGAGCCGTGGACTTGTGGAAGTTGTTCAGCGAGTTGGCGCTGGTGCCTGTGTTGCTGCTCCCGGGGTCGGGCAGGCCTGAGATCAGGGACCCCGACTGCGACCCCTGGCAGTCCCCGCAAGTGACGTCACATTGTGACCTCGTCACAAAAGCCGTGACGAGAATCGCGACGATCAGAACGAGGAGAACCACGAGGAAGGTCAGGATGACCTGGTTTCGCGTGACGTGGAACCGCTTGTGCTTCGGCCTCAGGACCACGAAGGTGTCCTTGATCAGGTCATTGTTCTCGTTCCGCAAGGGCGCCGTCTGAGCGCGGTGCTCCATTGCCGCGGCGTCGGCTAGCGTCACGTCGGGAAACGTGTCCCCCTCCATGTCCGTCACGTGATCTAAAACGTCGAGCAGACGACACAACCCACACTGCAGGCCATCTGTCCGAGTAGGAAAAAAAAAACAATTGAATTATCCAGTATTTTAAAGACTAACGTATTTTTGTTACGTCCATCGATGAAAAAGTCACCAATAAACTAGAACGACAACAAGAATAACTAACGCAGTAACTCTTCAACTCTCTGCTTGCCTGCCACACTGCGGCAAAGATAAACTCCACCGTATCATGTCATCTATAAGCACCTCTCTATGGCTAGGCATAATGACTAACACGGCACTATAGATCTATAAGCACCTGTCTATCTGCTAGGCATAATGACTAACACGGTACTATAGATCTATAAGCATCTGTCTATGTGCTAGGCATAATGACTAACACGGTACTATAGATCTATAAGCATCTGTCTATGTGCTAGGCATAGTGACTAACACGGTACTATAGATCTATAAGCATCTGTCTATGTGCTAGGCATAGTGACTAACACGGTACTATAGATCTATAAGCACCTGTCTATGTGCTAGGCATAATGACTAACACGGTACTATAGATCTATAAGCATCTGTCTATGTGCTAGGCATAGTGACTAACACGGTACTATAGATCTATAAGCACCTGTCTATGTGCTAGGCATAATGACTAACACGGTACTATAGATCTATAAGCATCTGTCTATGTGCTAGGCATAGTGACTAACACGGTACTATAGATCTATAAGCACCTGTCTATGTGCTAGGCATAGTGACTAACACGGTACTATAGATCTATAAGCACCTGTCTATGTGCTAGGCATAGTGACTAACACGGTACTATAGATCTATAAGCACCTGCCTATGTGCTAGGCATAGTGACTAACACGGTACTATAGATCTATAAGCACCTGTCTATGTGCTAGGCATAATGACTAACACGGTACTATAGATCTATAAGCACCTGTCTATGTGCTAGGCATAATGACTAACACGGTACTATAGATCTATAAGCACCTGTCTATGTGCTAGGCATAATGACTAACACGGTACTATAGATCTATAAGCACCTGTCTATGTGCTAGGCATAATGACTAACACGGTACTATAGATCTATAAGCACCTGTCTATGTGCTAGGCATAATGACTAACACGGTACTATAGATCTATAAGCACCTGTCTATGTGCTAGGCATAATGACTAACACGGTACTATAGATCTATAAGCACCTGTCTATGTGCTAGGCATAGTGACTAACACGGTACTATAGATCTATAAGCACCTGTCTATGTGCTAGGCATAGTGACTAACACGGTACTATAGATCTATAAGCACCTGTCTATGTGCTAGGCATAGTGACTAACACGGTACTATAGATCTATAAGCACCTGTCTATGTGCTAGGCATAATGACTAACACGGTACTATAGATCTATAAGCACCTGTCTATGTGCTAGGCATAATGACTAACACGGTACTATAGATCTATAAGCACCTGTCTATGTGCTAGGCATAATGACTAACACGGTACTATAGATCTATAAGCACCTGTCTATGTGCTAGGCATAATGACTAACACGGTACTATAGATCTATAAGCACCTGTCTATGTGCTAGGCATAATGACTAACACGGTACTATAGATCTATAAGCACCTGTCTATGTGCTAGGCATAATGACTAACACGGTACTATAGATCTATAAGCACCTGTCTATGTGCTAGGCATAATGACTAACACGGTACTATAGATCTATAAGCACCTGTCTATGTGCTAGGCATAATGACTAACACGGTACTATAGATCTATAAGCACCTGTCTATGTGCTAGGCATAATGACTAACACGGTACTATAGATCTATAAGCACCTGTCTATGTGCTAGGCATAATGACTAACACGGTACTATAGATCTATAAGCACCTGTCTATGTGCTAGGCATAATGACTAACACGGTACTATAGATCTATAAGCACCTGTCTATGTGCTAGGCATAATGACTAACACGGTACTATAGATCTATAAGCACCTGTCTATGTGCTAGGCATAATGACTAACACGGTACTATAGATCTATAAGCACCTGTCTATGTGCTAGGCATAATGACTAACACGGTACTATAGATCTATAAGCACCTGTCTATGTGCTAGGCATAGTGACTAACACGGTACTATAGATCTATAAGCACCTCTCTATGTGCTAGGCATAATGACTAACACGGTACTATAGATCTATAAGCATCTGTTTATGTGCTAGGCATAATGACTAACACGGTACTATAGATCTATGTGCTAGGCATAATGACTAACACGGTACTATAGATCTATAAGCACCTCTCTATGTGCTAGGCATAGTGACTAACACGGTACTATAGATCTATAATCACCTGTCTATGTGCTAGGCATAACGACTAACACAGTACTATAGATCTATGTGCTAGGCATAATGACTAACACGGTACTATAGATCTATGTGCTAGGCAAAATGACTAACACGGTACTATAGATCTATGTGCTAGGCAAAATGACTAACACGGTACTATAGATCTATGTGCTAGGCAAAATGACTAACACGGTACTATAGATCTATGTGCTAGGCAAAATGACTAACACGGTACTATAGATCTATGTGCTAGGCAAAATGACTAACACGGTACTATAGATCTATGTGCTAGGCAAAATGACTAACACGGTACTATAGATCTATGTGCTAGGCAAAATGACTAACACGGTACTATAGATCTATGTGCTAGGCAAAATGACTAACACGGTACTATAGATCTATGTGCTAGGCAAAATGACTAACACGGTACTATAGATCTATGTGCTAGGCAAAATGACTAACACGGTACTATAGATCTACACGATCAGATGGTGTTAGGACACGACAATGTTAACTTCTTTGTGATATTTTAACCCAACAAACACGCAGAACCTATTAATGGGACCACAAATACTGGTAGTAGGACCACAAATAATGGGACCACAATATATGGCAATGGGAGTAATCGGGCCACAGAACCTGGTATACATTTAGACCAATAGCCTCGACAACTTTGGCACCTAACGTAAACACAACACCATCTATATTTGGGCACCTAAAGTAAACACAACACCATCTATACTTGGGCACCTAACGTAAACACAACACAATCTATACTTGGGCACCTAACGTAAACACAACACAATCTATACTTGGGCACCTAAGGTAAACACAACACCATCTATACTTGAGCACCTAACAAACACAACACAACACCATCTATACTTGGGCACCTTACGTGAACACAACAGCATATATACTTGGGCACCTAACGTACACACAACACAACACCATCTATACTTGGGCACGTAACGTAAACACAACACAACACAACCTAAACTAGCACATCTGACCTAAACTACATCATTATACAAACACAAGGTCCATCTTTGTCTCTATTGTGTACAACAGGTTGGCCTATAGTCCCAGTAGCTCTGACGAATACTTCATACTTCGTTAAGCCATTTATAATATATGCAGCATGCCATTTATTACCTTACTTATTCCATTCTGTATAAATACGTATTAGTAATTATAATGGAATGTGGTCTATATAACATGAATACAATATCTACAGCTTGTTATGCCACTACCACATTGAGAATGTTAAGTGTTATATAATACAAAGTGGTAGTTAAAAGTTATAATGATAGGGACAAGTTAACGTGATAGGGACAAGTTAACGTGATAGGGACAACTTAAAGTGATAGGAGAAACGTGATAGGGACAAGTTAACATGATAAGGACAACTTAAAGTGATAGGGACAAGTTAACATGATAGGGACAAGTTAACGTGATAGGGACAAGTTAACGGGATAGGGACAAGTTAATATGATAGGGACAAGTTAACGTGATAGGGACAAGTTAACGTGATAGGGACAAGTTAACATGATAGGGACAAGTTAACGTGATAGGGACAAGTTAATATGATAGGGACAAGTTAACGTGATAGGGACAAGTTAACGTGATAGGGACAAGTTAACATGATAGGGACAAGTTAACGTGATAGGGACAAGTTAATATGATAGGGACAAGTTAACGGGATAGGGACAAGTTAATATGATAGGGACAAGTTAACGTGATAGGGACAAGTTAATATGATAGGGACAAGTTAACGGGATAGGGACTAGTTAATATGATAGGGACAAATTAACATGATAGGGACAAGTTAACGTGATAGGGACAAGTTAACGTGATAGGGACAAGTTAACGGGATAGGGACAAGTTAATATGATAGGGACAAGTTAACGGGATAGGGACAAGTTAATATGATAGGGACAAGTTAACGTGATTGGGACAAGTTAATATGATAGCGACAAGTTAACGTGATTGGGACAAGTTAATATGATAGGGACAAATTAACATGATAGGGACAAGTTAACGTGATAGGGACAAGTTAACGTGATAGGGACAAGTTAACGGGATAGGGACAAGTTAACGTGATAGGGACAAGTTAATATGATAGGGACAAGTTAACGGGATAGGGACAAGTTAATATGATAGGGACAAGTTAACGTGATAGGGACAAGTTAATATGATAGGGACAAGTTAACGGGATAGGGACAAGTTAATATGATAGGGACAAGTTAACGTGATAGGGACAAGTTAATATGATAGGGACAAGTTAACGGGATAGGGACTAGTTAAGGTGATAGGGACAAGTTAACGTGATAGGGACAAGTTAATATGATAGGGACAAGTTAACGTGATAGGGACAAGTTAACGTGATAGGGACAAGTTAACGTGATAGGGACAAGTTAACATGATAGGGACAAGTTAACGTGATAGGGACAAGTTAATATGATAGGGACAAATTAACGTGATAGGGACAAGTTAACGTGATAGGGACAAATTAACATGATAGGGACAAGTTAACGTGATAGGGACAAGTTAACGTGATAGGGACAAGTTAATATGATAGGGACAAGTTAACGTGATAGGGACAAGTTAACGTGATAGGGACAAGTTAACGTGATAGGGACAAGTTACGGGATAGCGACAAGTTAACATGATAGGGACAAGTTAACGTGATAGGGACAAATTAACGTGATAGGGACAAGTTAACGTGATAGGGACAAGTTACGGGATAGCGACAAGTTAACATGATAGGGACAAGTTAACGTGATAGGGACAAGTTACGGGATAGCGACAAGTTAACGTGATAGGGACAAGTTAACGTGATAGGGACAAGTTAACATGATAGGCACAAATTAACATGATAGGGACAAGTTAATATGATAGGGACAAGTTAACGGGATAGGGACAAGTTAATATGATAGGGACAAGTTAACGTGATAGGGACAAGTTAACGGGATAGGGACAAGTTAATATGATAGGGACAAGTTAACGTGATAGGGACAAGTTAACGGGATAGGGACAAGTTAATATGATAGGGACAAGTTAACGGGATAGGGACAAGTTAATATGATAGGGACAAGTTAACGTGATAGGGACAAGTTAACGTGATAGGGACAAGTTACGGGATAGCGACAAGTTAACGTGATAGGGACAAGTTAACGTGATAGGGACAAGTTAACATGATAGGGACAAATTAACATGATAGGGACAAGTTAATATGATAGGGACAAGTTAACGGGATAGGGACAAGTTAATATGATAGGGACAAGTTAACGTGATAGGGACAAGTTAACGGGATAGGGACAAGTTAATATGATAGGGACAAGTTAACGTGATAGGGACAAGTTAACGGGATAGTGACAAGTTAATATGATAGGGACAAGTTAACGGGATAGGGACAAGTTAATATGATAGGGACAAGTTAACGTGATAGGGACAAGTTAATATGATAGGGACAAGTTAACGGGATAGGGACTAGTTAAGGTGATAGGGACAAGTTAACGGGATAGGGACAAGTTAATATGATAGGGACAAGTTAACGTGATAGGGACAAGTTAACATAATAGGGACAAGTTAACGGGATAGGGACAAGTTAATATGATAGGGACAAGTTAACGTGATAGGGACAAGTTAACATGATAGGGACAAGTTAACGGGATAGGGACAAGTTAACGGGATAGGGACAAGTTAATATGATAGGGACAAGTTAACGTGATAGGGACAAGTTAATATGATAGGGACAAGTTAATATGATAGGGACAAGTTAACGTGATAGGGACAACGTGATAGGGACAAGTTAACGTGATAGGGACAAGTTAACGTGATAGGGACAAGTTAATGTGATAGGGACAAGTTAACGTGATAGGGACAAGTTAACGTGATAGGGACAAGTTAAAGTGATAGGGACAAGTTAACGTGATAGGGACAAGTTAACGGGATAGGGACAAGTAAACGTGATAGGGACAAGTTAACGGGATAGGGACAAGTTAACGTGATAGGGACAAATTAACGTGATAGGGACAACGCGATAGGGACAAATTAACATGATAGGGACAAGTTAACGTGATAGGGACAAGTTAACGTGATAGGGACAAGTTAATGTGATAGGGACAAATTAACATGATAGGGACAAGTTAACGTGATAGGGACAAGTTAACGTGATAGGGACAAGTTAACGGGATAGGGACAGTTTAACGTGATAGGGACAAGTTAACGGGATAGGGACAAGTTAACGGGATAGGGACAAATTAACGTGATAGGGACAACGCGATAGGGACTAGTTAACGTGATATGGTCAAGTTAACGTTATAGGGACAAATTAACGTGATAGGGACAAATTAAAGTGATAGGGACAAGTTAACGTGATAGGGACAAGTTAACGTGATAGGGACAAGTTAACATGATAGGGACAAGTTAACGGGATAGGGACAAGTTAACGTGATAGGGACAAGTTAACGTGATAGGGACAAGTTAACGTGATATGGATAAGTTAAAGTGATAGGGAGAGATTTACGTGATAATGAGAGAGAGAGGTTTACCTGATAGGGACAAATTAACGTGATAGGGTGAGGTTAATGTGAAAGGAACAATTTACTTAACGTGATATGGACATGTTAAAGGTATACGGACAAGATAGCACAATTCGGACACGTTAGCACAATACGGACACGTTAGCACAATACGGACAAGTTAGCACAATACGGACACGTTAGCACAATACGGACAAGATAGCACAATACGGACAAGTTAGCACAATACGGACACGTTAGCACAATACGGACAAGATAGCACAATACGGACAAGTTAGCACAATACGGACAAGTTAGCACAATACGGACAAGATAGCACAATACGGACAAGTTAGCACAATACGGACAAGTTAGCACAATACGGACAAGTTAGCACAATACGGACAAGATAGCACAATACGGACACGTTAGCACAATACGGACACGTTAGCACAATACGGACACGTTAGCACAATACGGACACGTTAGCACAATACGGACACGTTAGCACAATACGGACACGTTAGCACAATACGGACACATTAGCACAATACGGACACATTAGCACAATACGGACACGTTAGCACAATACGGACACGTTAGCACAATACGGACACGTTAGCACAATACGGACACGTTAGCACAATACGGACACGTTAGCACAATACGGACACATTAGCACAATACGGACACATTAGCACAATACGGACAAGTTAGCACAATACGGACACGTTAGCACAATACGGACAAGATAGCACAATACGGACACGTTAGCACAATACGGACACGTTAGCACAATACGGACAAGTTAGCACAATACGGACAAGTTAGCACAATACGGACAAGATAGCACAATACGGACAAGTTAGCACAATACGGACAAGATAGCACAATACGGACACGTTAGCACAATACGGACACGTTAGCACAATACGGACACGTTAGCACAATACGGACACGTTAGCACAATACGGACACATTAGCACAATACGGACACGTTAGCACAATACGGACACGTTAGCACAATACGGACACGTTAGCACAATACGGACACGTTAGCACAATACGGACACATTAGCACAATACGGACACATTAGCACAATACGGACAAGTTAGCACAATACGGACAAGTTAGCACAATACGGACAAGTTAGCACAATACGGACACGTTAGCACAATACGGACACGTTAGCACAATACGGACAAGTTAGCACAATACGGACAAGTTAGCACAATACGGACAAGATAGCACAATACGGACAAGTTAGCACAATACGGACAAGATAGCACAATACGGACACGTTAGCACAATACGGACACGTTAGCACAATACGGACACGTTAGCACAATACGGACACGTTAGCACAATACGGACACATTAGCACAATACGGACACGTTAGCACAATACGGACACGTTAGCACAATACGGACACGTTAGCACAATACGGACACGTTAGCACAATACGGACACATTAGCACAATACGGACACATTAGCACAATACGGACAAGTTAGCACAATACGGACAAGTTAGCACAATACGGACAAGTTAGCACAATACGGACAAGTTAGCACAATACGGACACGTTAGCACAATACGGACAAGTTAGCACAATACGGACAAGTTAGCACAATACGGACAAGTTAGCACAATACGGACAAGTTAGCACAATACGGACAAGTTAGCACAATACGGACACGTTAGCACAATACGGACACATTAGCACAATACGACTAAGTTGACGGGATCGGCCATGTTAACGCCTTTAGGACAAATTGACGTAAAATTAACAAATGAACGCATGAGGCAAGTTAACAAATGCCAGCTTTAAAGTCTGAACGATACATTTGTACACGTTTTTTTTTAAATCTGGACTACAACCCTTAGCTTACATGGAATACACGGGTCCAGATGCACTTAACAGTGGCACAGTTTTGTATTACAAAATTAAAGTTTTTCTATCAGAAATAGTCGTTCAATAGTATAAGAATATATATATATATATATATATATATATATATATATATATATATATATATATATATATATATATATATATATATATACATATATATATATATATATATATATATATATATATATATATATATATATATATATATATATATATATGTAAACCTTAAGACCACGACTTCGACTAATTATATATTAATTAACTAGTTTGCTATCGGGGTGAAAAGACTTGTGTTTAATAAAAAGAAATATTTTATTTCTATAACACACAATTATCACTAAATAAATCACTAATCTAAATAAACAGTTAATCTTGACTGAAATAAACCTACTTTGGATCCAATAACCATCAGTATTCCAGTAATTAATATCGTGAATTAGAACTAGGTCCCAGTGTAAAATAAAATCCGCCAGAATAACCTCACATCTTTAGCCCGGTGTTTCTGTGTCCTACGACATTAACCACATTAAAAAAGGGAAAGAAAAAAGAATCTCCCATGCAGTAGTCTCCCCTTGCATGAGCTCTTCAATGAACCAACCCTCACAGTTGGTCGCCCTGTCTAGGCAGACAGGACAAGAGCCAATACAAACTGCGGGTAGGGGAATAAAACCTTCACTATTGTGTATCCAATGTATTTACACGATATGGTCTACACGCTATGCATATCTTACACACTCAATGTGTCTTATACTCTTATATAACTTACACCCTCAACGTGTTTTACACGTTCGTTGCTTACACACAATGTGTCTTACACACTCAATGTCTCCTACACACATTGATGTGTCTTACATATTCAATGTCCCTTACACAATCTAAGTTCCTTACACACTCAATGTCCATTACACACATAAAGTTCCTTACACACCTACAGCTCCTTACACACTCAATGTCCCTTACCACATAAAGTTCCTTACACACATAAAGTTTCTTACACATTCAATGTCCCTTACACACATAAAGTTTCTTACACATTCAATGTCCCTTACACACATAAAGTTTCTTACACATTCAATGTCCCTTACACACATAAAGTTTCTTACACATTCAATGTCCCTTACACACATAAAGTTTCTTACACATTTAATGTCCCTTACACACATAAAGTTTCTTACACATTCAATGTCCCTTACACACATAAAGTTTCTTACACATTCAATGTCCCTTACACACATAAAGTTTCTTACACATTCAATGTCCCTTACACACATAAAGTTTCTTACACATTCAATGTCCCTTACACACATAAAGTTTCTTACACACATAAAGTTCCTTATACACATAAAGTTCCTTACACACTCAATGTCCCTTACACACATAAATTTCCTTACACATTCAATGCTGCCTACACATTTAATGCTGCTTACACATTTTATGCTGCTTACACAATCAATTCCCTTACACATTCAATGCTGCTTACACAATCAATGTCCCTTACACATTCAATTACCCTTACACACACAATTTATCTTACACACAGAATGTATGTGAACCAAGAGGTCATGCTTGTATTGCACTAGTAAAGTAGTTTTTGACCTTATATTTGTGACAGAACAAGACATGAAAGACGTGTTCTTATCCTATCCAGGTATTTTAGAAAGAAATAGTTTAGAAGTTTGAACAAACGATAACAAAAAATTGAAATTGAAAAAATAAAAATAAAAATAAACATCCAGAAGGGGAGTATCGATTGCATTTATTTTTTTACATTTCTAATTGAGGGTAAGTCCCTTTGACATTACTTTAGAAATAGCTCATCTCTTATTACTTTAAGCAATCCCATGAATGTATTGAATCTATTAAGGCTAAAAAAAAACAATACAATACAAAGACTATTTAATCAAGCAGCAGAATGGTTAGTTAAACAATAGCTTGGCTTTAATTGATTTTTCTAACGAAGAAATATTTTTAATTTCAATCACAACAATAAATAAAATGTAATTGATTTCTTCATCCATTGGAAGCAACTTTTTCATAACCCACACCTCCGACGTTTACTACTGGAACATCCATCCAGCATACACGACTAGCTACCAAGAATATGTATATATATATATATATATATATATATATATATATATATATATATATATATATATATATATATATATATATATATGAGTTGACCGTTTTTCTTGTGGTTTTTTAATACCTTTCTATTGATTGAAAAATGAGAACAAAAAATATGTAATTGAAAAATGCATGAATATGGCCTAGAGGCCAGACAAAGTCTCACCTGCCAAATTTGGCCAATGTTTTTTTGGGTCATTTTTTTATGCGATCTTTGCCTTATGGCAACTCACTGCGTGCTTCATTTCTGCTACTAGATGGGGGTGGGGGAGGGGGGAGATAATATGATGTAACAGGGAGGAGTTATATTATGTCGAGGGTGGGGGAGGGACGGGGTTTGGTCACGTGCTCTAACAGGAAATATCTTCAGCAAGAATGCTGTATAGCGTGTATAGAATACAGCACATCAAGCTATTGCCTTAGTCACAGACGGCCATTTTTTTTTATTTTACACCTCAATACAACAAATACATTGTATAGTTAACCTGAATTTTACACCTCAATGCAACAAATAAAATGTATCATTGACTTTACATTTTAGTTTAGTTGATCTTGTTAGTCTATATCAAGTTTTGTTGATCTTATTACACCATGTCAAGTTTTGTTGGTCTTGTTAGTCTATGTTAAGTTTTGTTGATTTTGTTAGTCTTTGTCAAATTTTGTTGATCTTGTTACACCATGTTAAGCTTTGTTGTTCTTGTTAGTCTATTTCAAGTTTTGTTGGTCTTGTTACACCATGTCAAGTTTTGTTGATCTTGTCTATGTCAAGTTCAGTATGTCTTGCTACTCCAATGCCAAATTTTGTAGGATGTTTTACTCCGATGTCAAGTTACTTTGATATCAAGTTTAGTAGGTCTTTTTAATCCATGTCAATGTTTTGTTGCTGAAAACTCAGTTTGGTTTATCAGAATGTATATTGTTCTAAAAGTCATTGTAAAGCATTTCACGAAAATATGTCTGGAAGACATACATTCATACCATACCTACCGTTATCTTGACTAAATTACAACATCCGATGAGTAAAGAATTATCCAATATGTTAATGATAATTTTCTCTTTACACAACACAAATTACAAACTTAATCCACTTAATTTCAGTAGTTCAATCCTTAAAGTCTAAAAAGTATATCCTAACAGTCTATCCTAACTATCTATTCCCACAGTCTATCCCAAAAGTCTATTCCAACAGTCTGTCCCAGTAGTCTATCCCAACAGTCTATCCCAACAGTCTATCCCAACATTCTATCCCAACAATATATCCCAACAGTCTGTCCCGACTACTCACCACGCACGCGACAGACGTAAAACAAAATGCACGTGCGAGTTTATATGGATGCCCGACTAGCGGCTGTTTGGAACTGTGCCGGGGGCAGTGCCACTCTCGATGACCCACTTTAGTGCCACCCTTGTTGACTGTTGACCTACTTTAGTGCCGCCCTTGTTAACTGTTGACCTACTTTAGTGCACAATTGTTGACTGTTGACCTACTTTAGAGCTACTCTTGGTGGTCTACTTATGAGGACCGTTTTTTGGTCTACTTTTGTGCCATCCTCGTTAACCTACTTTAGTGCCACCCTCGCTAACCTACTTTTGTGCCACCCTCGTTAACCTACTTTAGTGCCACCCTCGCTAACCTACTTTTGTGCCACCCTCGTTAACCTACTTTAGTGCCACCCTCGTTAACCTACTTTTGTGCCACCATCGTTAACCTACTTTAGAGCCACCCTCATTGACCTACTTTAGTGCCACCCTCGTTAACCTACTTTAGTGCCACCCTCATTGACCTACTTTAGTGCCACCCTCGTTGACCTACTTTAGTGCCACCATTGGTTGGCGATTTTTTTGCCGTTTATTTATTTGGGACATTTATTTATGTTTGTGTGCGTGCATCTTCGTGTGTGTATGTATGTGTGTGTGTGTTTGATGTGTGTTCGTGCTTGAGCTAGCAAGACCCCACCCCCCCTATGTAAATCTCTGCACCAAAGTTGTTGCCGCCAATAATCTCGATAAAGATAACAAAGACCAACTTGTATCACACACTCCCCCCCCCCCCCCCAGTTTGCCTGACGTAATTCCAAACCTGATTTAAGCCGTGGGACAAACAGATCACAGGGGTCAGGCTCGCGTGGACCTCTTGAGACAGGCGTGGACGGGAATCACGTGGGGGACAAGAACTGATGGACGACAATATTGGTTGTATCAAGGTCATTAGAAAGATGGACGACAATATTGGTTGTTTCAAGGTCATTAGAAACATGGACGACGATATTGGTTGTTTCAAGGTCATTAGAAAGATGGACGACAATATTGGTTGTATCAAGGTCATTAGAAACATGGACGACAATATTGGTTGTATCAAGGTCATTAGAAACATGGACGACAATATTGGTTGTATCAAGGTCATTAGAAACATGGACGGGAATATTGGTTGTATCAAGGTCATTAAAAACATGGACGACAATATTGGTTGTATCAAGGTCATTAGAAACATGGACGGGAATATTGGTTGTATCAAGTTCATTAGGATCATGGACGTCAATATTGGTTGTTTCAAGTTAACCAAGAAGTTACCTAACATCTGCACTACTCAAATATTTCGCACACGATGTGTTTGTAAAAAGCGGGTTGGCCTCTGTATGTAAGAAGTTTTTAGCTGTGATAAGTTGATTCGACCGCCAATGTGAGAATTTGGTAAGACCGACGTAAACTTTGGTTAGAACGACGTTATAAGAATTTAGTTAGACCAATTTTGCAAGAATTTGGTTAGACCTAAGCTGCAAGAATTATGTTACACAAACGTAAAACTTCGGTTAGAACGACGTTATAAGAATTTGTTTAGACCAATGTTGCAAGAATTTTTTTAGACCAGCGTAAAACTCTGGTGAAACCAACTTTGCAGGAATGCCGTTGCCTATTTCCAGAATTGCCGAATCTGGCGCTGTACTAAACTGACTTGCCTGTCACACATCTGTTATACATACCGTGAGCTCCAGCCCTGCCCGCTAATGAAGGGCACCCTCTGGAATTGAATGCCCATGTCGAAAGACGTCATCAGTATTCATGACTAGCCCCGCCCCCATATTGAAGACACGCAAGGAATGATCATTAAAATATTGTAAATGTTCATTTATTCAGTCGAAAACTAATCCAGGAAATTTATTTTAGATTTAAGGGAGGACGTTTTTCAGATACAGCACCCATGTATTCAAGATACAAGACTTGATCTATCTGTTTAAAGTTAAAGATTGTAAGATGCCCAAATCCTATTGAAAGATTGAAGACTGGATTTAAAGATTGTAGAATTCTCCAATCCTTGAAGCCAAAGATTGGGGACTGGACCTACCTATTTAAAGATTGTAGAATTCTCCAATCCT